TCGTCCCGATTGCTTTTCGCCCGCGTGTCGAGTTTGCGTTCGCGGTTCTCGCGTAGGCGAGTTACCACCAGTTTCCTAGAGTTACTCGAGCACTGTTACTCGTTCGCGGTCGTGACGCAATCCGGATAAGATCACGCTAATAAATAATGACACTTGATAGCCGACGCCAAGTTCGCCGGCCAAGCATCGCCGTATATCCTTTCTGCCCCGCTCGCTTATCGTTTTCTGAATTCTGAATAACCGAGATCGCCGCGCGACGTCCAGCCGTGAGAACGCACGCGGCAAGAGGATATCAGGGTCGGCCTTGATTAACGTTAATTCATTGTTTCAGGGTAGCGATCCGTCGGTACGCGGGTAAACGCACGAGCCGAGGATTAGCGTACGCGGAATAAGCGTCGCGGCCTCCCCTGCATAGCTGCACCCGATTCGCCCGTGCACTCGCTATGCAGTTAAGGGGTTATACCACTTAGAAATGTTGAAAAAATTCAAAAAAACCTCTACGCCTTTATTTTACGCGTTTATACGTTTTCCTTAAAACTGCATTTTAAAAATCGGTGGGCACTCTAACTCCGCTAATTTTCAATCGATCGTCTTCATTCTTTTTTATTTTATTCGTGATATGTTTATTCAGCGAAAAATGTATGTTTTTTTTTTTCAATGTATTGATATTCGCGTTTTTTATGCAACATTAATTAGCGAAATTTGGACTGGACCTGGACTGAGTTATCGTGCCCACCGCACGATTATCGATTTTCCCAGTGCTCCGGTAAATCGCCTTTCAAGCCGGCAATTTTTGTAAATAAAAAAATAAAAAAAAAATTCTTTGTTGTCTAATAGTAGTATAATACCTTACTGTACTTTAATTTGGATAAAAACGTTTTAATTATTAAAGAAAAAATTCTTGAAAAAACGTAATTTTTGGGTGGGTCAAAGTGGTGTAACCCTTTAAGGACTGCATCGCGGAGTAGAATTTAGAGTCGCCTCTCGATCCCGTCGATCCGATATACGAGCGTAGGATAAGCGGAATGGAGGAAAAGGTGTATCAAATCGTCCGAATACTCGGGAAAAGTTTCCTCGATTTTTGGGGTTTCGGGGGAGCCGGGGGGGGGGAGAAAGAGAAACTCATCCCGGGATGGCCGGATCCTTGGACGGCGCATATTCCACCGTTTTTTTTATTACCGGTTTAACCCGAAGAATCGGGTCTAGTCGACTTCTCGGGTTTAAACCGGTCGAGGTTAGGTCCTCTCTGGCACGGCCGGGATCGGACCTCGGTCGAGGATGACCTTTAAGCCGCGCTATCATCGGTGACGTCGATTTCGCTGCAGTCAAAGGAGCCGACGAGTGGTGCGAGATCTCGGCCGCGCTTCGCCTTTTACGAAAGTCCGAGAAATCGGGGCCCGCGTTCCGGGGGTAGCCAAGGAGTCGCCGGAAGCTCGGCGAAGAGAGGAAGATTCTTCTTCCGTTAATGGCCGCTAGAAGAGGAGATCGGGTTACGTCAAAGAGAGAGGAAGCGGGGAAAAGCTATCCGCCGAGAGCCTAGGACCGACTTTAACCGTTTTAGTGGCAGGGATTTTTAAAAATCCGCGTCGGATTGTGCAATTAAGCACGATGGCGTTGCGAATTGACGATCGGGACCAAACATCGCGACACAGTTCACCACAGTACGCGAAAAGTGCGATCGTGCTGCGTGGCACTAAAACGTTTAACTAGCTCCACTACGCCGCGGCCGTGAATGCCTGCCGTGATGGCGGAAGGAAAACATTGTTTGCACGGACGCGTTCCGGAGATGATCGCAGCGGAGGCTGGGGGTTTATTTTACGAGCAAGAGGAGTCGGGGAAGTACAAGTGCGAAAATCGGGATTTCCTCGATCTAGTTGACACGGTACCAAAATGGCGCTGGAAATCCGCCGGTCGAGAATTCTCGCTGCCGCGCGCTTATGTCCGACCGGGTGACTAATCGGCCTTGGATACTTGCATATTTGTCCGACGGTCTCGGTACGCCGAGAACCGGTGGCCTTGAACCTGCCCGATGGTGGGAGTCCCAAGTCCAACGAACGTGCCGCCGTGGACGTTCGATCGGATCCCTCTATCGATCCCGTAATTGGGGCGCCGATCGATCGGGGCTCCCTTCCGAGACGGACCCACGCCCTCGCGAGGTGACTCGCGATTCCGCAAAGGAAACGCTCCGACGCCTTGGAAACGCCGGAGTCGGGGCCGTCCACCGAGGTATAGAAACTCGACCGAGTCTAAGAATGACCGGCGACCGTTTAGGGGGAGCTTGACCCAGTGAATCAATCAAGGGTGATTTTCCGTCTGGATGGAAGAAGCAGTCCCTCGGGGGACGTCCTATACCTGGTGTTGTGGCGTCCTTAGGACGTCCACGTGCGAGGGCGCGAGGCAAAGGACCTCCCCGCCTCGTGTTGCCCTCCCGTTAGTGCTCCGTTCCCGGTGATTGCGCTTCGACGAATCGCCGGGCTCTCGGTTGCAGGTTCGACGAACCGTCTCAACGTCCTAACAAATCGCTATTAAGCGCAGTTAAACTCGGTCGCGTAATGGCCCCTCGGAGGCGCGCTTACACCGCACTCGGACGCCGCTCGTACGTTCGAGATATGCGACGATATGATCGCGAGAGTGGAGATCATTGAACCGGAGGAACCCAGGGGACTTACTTTGACTCGACTTCCTCGACGACGTCGACTCGCGGTGTCCGTTCGCTCGATGCCTCCTCGTGGCGGGCGCGTTTTAGGGGACGGGGCTAGCCTAACCCCCAAAAATCGGGCGGAACGCGAACAAAAGAGTCTAGACGGCTCGATTGCGGAAACGACGAGCACCGGGGCTCTTTGTCTTCCTGCGTCCACCCACGCTCGGGGACCCGGTGTTAAAAAACACGGCCCGGGGAGAGACGGCAAAGTCAAAGCCCGGCCGAAAAGAAGGCGGAAAATGTGGGAAAGGACGAACCACGATTTTCAACGGCGAAGATCATCTCGCGACCCCGCCACCCCTTCCGAGGTGGCCCGCGAACCACCCACGGGGTGCGCGCGTTGAAGTCTCCGGATGCGGAGAGAGGCGACGTCGCTTCCATTTAATTTCTCCCTATCTTAAACCGCGGAACAACCTGGAGCTCGAAAAACGACCGGCGCGAGCCGTTTCCGACTGCGGACCTTCGAAGAAGCCGTCGTAGGTGCGCGTCGCCCTTATCAACCGCGTATCGCGCGAGCTGCGGAATCGGGCGATACCGCCGCGGAGTCAACGCCCGAGCGCAACAACATAGGCCTACCTGACGCCATCTCCTGGATGGCCGCTCGACGGCGGTCGAGTCGCGGCTCGATAAGGGCGGACAACCCTGAGCGGAAAAAAAAAAAATGCGACCGGGCTCGAATCGAAGGAGAGAGGTTCTTTCCTTTGTCCCGATCGGCCGACTCCGCGGAGAGGCCGCCGCGGAAATCGGCCGCGGGGAGAGAAAAGATCACGTATGCCGGCTCGCTCCGCTCCCGTTCGACTCTCGCTTAACTCACGAATCCCTGACAACCTCGGTGACATTGTTCGCCGGTCTTTGTTTTGTGGCGGCCTCCACATCGCGGCTCGGCGCGTGCGGCCTCCGATGATCCGCACGTACCCTTCTCGCGACGGCTAGGAGTTGCCCCCCAATTGGAGCCTTTTTATTATTTTTATTTGTAATATTCCCCGATATTTTTAATCGACTTAAGCATCGATAAGAAGAACGACGCGTCCATGAGCGAGCGGGCAGTCGCGGTCGATCTCCAAAGTCGAGGCCGCCTCGCGGTTCTAATTCCAGAGAGAGAGAGGTAACTGTCGCGCTCATTAGATACCGCCTCGCCTACGCGGGGTAGACGCGGGTGAAATCGAGATCCCCCCTTTTCCCGTCGACTTTGGAGGTCCGTCGACGAAAATAAAGCAATGTCCCGGGGGCTCTGCGGAAGTCGGGCGGAATTATGGCCTCTGTTTGCGGACCCGACGACGTCTTAAATGCCCCGGACGCGCCGGGACTTTACGAGCGCGATACGAGCCGCCGTGTAATGCGTTTTTCTCTCTTTTCTCGGTATCCAGGAGCTATCCGCGAGGATGAAGGATGAATTGGACGAGGACGATGCCGCCACCGCTCCAGCTTCCGTCCCGGAGAGCACCACCTCCTATGGGTGAGACATCCTTACCGAGTTAGACCCTCGCGACTCTTCGCGCGGCCTGGACGGGCGAAATTACCAACTTTATTCGTAAATCTCCGCGGTTACATGTTCAAGCTCGCATTATGCCCGCGAAGTCATAAACAACGAGCCATCCTGCATCTATAGGTACGAACGCGCGCTTAGTCATTGCGTTTACCGCGTGTCCTTGGACTTAGACGGCGCGACGATTCCCACTTTGTGCGCACAAGTCGCGCGGAGAGAAGCGCGCACCCCTCGGTCGGTGCGGAATCTCCGAGCAGCCCAATGGGGTCCTTTCCAATTATTTTCGAAAGAGCCAAAGAAAGGCGCTGGAAGGCCGCTAGCAAGAAAAAAAAAAAAAGAAAAGAAAAGACCGTTTACGAATCGGGCCCGCGGTGTGAAACGTTCCGCCACGGAATTCCCATGGCGTGCCTTTCAAGGCGACGCGTAAATCCGACAATTTCGGAGTCGCGCGTCCCCCGAAGTGGAGGAAGCCGCGTTGCGGTCAGACGTCGCGCGGCGTCGCGTCGCCTCGTCCAGGTCTTGTTTACGACTTCTCCTTGGGAATAATCCGTCTGCGGATAGGTATCTCCCGGTGGTCGCGATAACGAACGGATTTATATTTCGATAAAATCGAGTCGGCGGATGATCGCGGTCCAGGCCTCGGAGCCGCTGATCATAACACGCAAATCCGCGCTTCTATCGGCGCCGCCGACGCGGCGCGCCGGCAGTGGAAGCCGACGCGCGTAGCCAGGCGACGCGGAGTAGAGGGGTGGGGGGAGCGCGCGCGAGGCGAGGTGGTGGGGGCTAGTGGAAAGCCGCCAGTCCGCCGCAGACCGTCGTGGCGCGCGCACCGAGCCGGCGCGCCTTCCCGGCATCCTCGGCCGCGTCACGCCGAGCCGATTCCTCCCCGCGAAGAGGTCGCGCGAGTTCGAGGTCCCGTCGATCCCGTCGCCCCTGGAGGACGGAAACCCGGCCCCGGTCCCTTCGCTCACCGGGCTCCGAGAAGGAAAGCGTATTAAGAGTATACGCCATTTTCGAGGTTATCTCTCCACGCGATAAAGCCGCGCGAGTGGGTTGGTGCAACGCCGAGAAGCGCAATCACTCGGTAAAGGTTATAACCGGCTGTTAGGCGTCCCGGTGGTTCCGCCGAGGCGCCAGGTAGTCGCCGACCGGCGAGAACGCGGATCGCGAGTGTCTCCGCGTGGTGTCCAATCCGAATCCCATATATCCACGTGTTATAGCCTCCAGCGAGTTAACATTCGCGATCGTCCGCGCGACGGAGATTCGGGGCGAAGCGCCAGCCTTGGGCCCGGGGTACCGGGTCAAGGTCGCGACTCTCGTCGCGATCGGCCGGCGCCCGCGGAGGTTAAGGTCTATCGCGTCGTCCCCGCGGTGACCGTCACGACCCACGTGGGCGTCTTCGCGCCTGGAAGGCAAGCCTCGACCGACGCGACTCGCCGGAGGTCTCTCCCAAGACCTGGACCAACAACCGGCGATCTAGAGGGGTCGAGGTCGACCCCGGGGCCCTCGGCGAGGGTACCGAGCTCCCCTTTGGCGGATGCCCGGCTGCGGCCGGCCAGCGGGCTCGAGTAATAACTTTCAATGGACGCTCGCGGCCAGCGCGACCAGATAAAAGTGCTTTATCTGTCCTCGGTCGCGATCGGGCGTGCGAGATTAGCGCCAAGGCTAATTTTAATGTGACAAACAGCCCGCGAAAGCGAGCCGAGGACGCCGATAAGGCGCCGGGGCGTGCAGCCGTTAAAACAGCGTTCGCCAAAATGGCCGCCGCCGCCGCCGGCGGCGGCGAGGCTGCACCGCCTGGCGCACCGGCCGAGTCGCGGGCCCTCCGGGCGGCGCCGCCGCTCGCCCCTCCGAGGCGGAATCACTAGGCCTCGTGATGTGGCCCCCGCATCAACACCGGTACATGGGGGGAGTGCCCCCCCACCTCCACCCCGCGGAGACCGACGCCCGAGCGCAGGATGAAGCGCTGCAGCAGCAACTGCAGATGCAGCAACAGCAGCAGCATCCGCATCACCGCCCCGCCATGGACCTTCCCATGCCCAGGTCAGCCGACGTCCCCTTGGAGCGTCGTTGCGCGCGAATTCGGTTAAGAAAATCTAAAACGCGTAATTTGGTATCGAGGTACTCCAAGGATGGTAACCTTCCACAAAGTTTGCTGAACGGCCTATTTATACGTGGAAAGGGGGCTAGGCTGAATATCGCGGCTTTTGCGTACCTTGGTCCATCCTAGACGGAGACTTTAGGCTGCGAGAGAGGGAAAGACGCGTTTTCTTCTTTTTTTTTTGTTTTCTTGTTTTGGAATAGGCAGGACACCGATCAGGGCCCCGCTCGAATCGCGACCTCTGGAAGGCTATGGACGCGTCGCCCGTCCCGATAAGACCTCGCGTCTGCCGGTGGAAGACGAAATATTTGGTCGGTTGATAAATATTGCCAGTCGAGTGTTTTCCTCGACGCGAGTTACGGTGAAACAACGACGCCGCGGCGATTATCACCTTCGGGATGGCGTTGTTTGATTGTTTGAGGCGGTTTCCCTCTCCCCCTTTCCTTTGGAGACCTCTCTAAGCTGTCCCGAAAAATTCGGTGGTCTCGGACCGAGGGTTTTCCGCGCGGTCTCTCTTCCGCCGGGTGGGCGGAGGAAACGACGTTATCTACACCTTCGGACGCCGGGAAACACGTCCCACGTCCTCTACATCCTTACGTTAGTTACGGCCGTGCCGCCGCTACATCCGTAATACCGAGAGGCCGGGTAATCGGCGAGCTCAAGGCCTCGCTCCCGATAAAACGCCGCGGAAAAGTGAATCTCGACCGGGAGGGAAATCGGTACGTCCGGCTCCTGGTATCACCGGCATCGTCACCGTAGCGCGACCCTCCGTCTTCCGATTGTCGCGGCTATCGGAATCTCAGGGTCGCCGTCGCGACGGTGCAGAGGCGGTCGCGATCCCGGTTTACGCCGCGCGGCCCATCCGCGTCCGCTCTCGCGGCCTTCCACCGTCCCTTTTCTTCCTCTCGCCGTCTCCCTCGTCGGCGAGATTAATGACGACCGGCGTGATGTCAGCGTCGCGCAGGTTCCAGGCCATAAGGGAACCGGTCCGGCGACGCCGCGCGCGTAACGCCGAGTAAATACGCGCGGTAACCTCCGCGGCGCAGGTGCCTGTTACGTCGGGAAAACGCCTCCGCCTACGAAATCGGCCGTTAACGCGGTTGTCCCGGATCGCGGTCCGGGAGATGTCCTTTGAGGTCCTTTGCCGCGGTTTATATGTGCCCCGCGTACCGCCGCCCCGAGTATCTTCCCTCGGATCTCGGGGTGGCGTCGCGGCGCCGAAAAAAAAAAAAAAATAAATAAAAAAATAAAAAACGTCGCCTCGATGCGCACTCCCCGCGAGATTGGCGAGGTCGGAGGCGCGGATTTACCGAGTCGCGGTATCGCCCTTAATTATACCGCCGACTCGAAGGCCTGCCCCCTCTCTTTCTCTCTTTTTCCTTCTCCCTCTCGACGCTTCCCGGCGATCCGGTTAACGCGAGGTCACCCCTCCGGTCGCGTTACCCTCCGATTTGCGGGGAACAACTCGGTTTATCGTACACGGAAGGAAATGCACCGGGGAGGGAGTCGTTTGATATATTTTTTTTTTTTTTTTTTCTAGCGTTCGGTTTACCCCCCTACGATTTTTCATTTTTCCCTACTCCCCTGTTCTCGGCTCGAACGCTCCGAAAATAGCGAGCCACGTATACGCGGACCAAGTTCGAAGATCTCGGGAAATCGGCCGCCCTTGGGGGGGGATTAATTATAACGCCTGACCGTAAATTCAGAGATTCGACGACGGCCGGGATTGCGGCTCGAACGGGGACGGACAAATTGAGCTCTTGACGAAGAATCGAATCGGATAAAGTCCGAGCTCTCTCCGATTCCCCGGTGGGCGAGATCATCAGGAAAATCCCGATTGGATATCGGCGCGACATGCCCCCCGTGCGGGAAGGAGAGATAGAAACCGAAGGTGGGCGGAGAGATAAAGAGGGAAAAAAAATAGTAGGGGGAGGGAGGGGAAGGAAATAACAATCTAGACTCCGCCTCAAAGGATATAGCGCGTTTCTGCAGCGATCCGACGACGCCGGTAGCCTCGCGCCGTCCTTGCGTTTAAATCCGCCATGGCGGTGTCTTGTAACGCGGTCTCCCCTTTCTTTCGTTATTTCCTTTTCTTTTCATCTGTTATTCCTGTATCCGGTGCGGCCTTCGGCGGGAGCTCGGAAAAGCCGATCGGCGGACGATCGCTGGCGTCATTCCGTTCCCGCTACGTAGAGGGATTTCTTTATTCTCGATCCTTCGCCGGAGTGGCGAGGGACCGTCCGGTGTCGCGCTTCTCGCTCTCGCGGCCGGCTCGGCCGTTGACCCGTCTCTCTCGCTCTTAAGGCCGGGCCGCGCGGCGCGTCCGCTAGACAGATTGGCGACTGGAGCTCTCTCGCGGCCTCTCCTGCCCTTGGGCCCGACCGGTCGAGTTCTCGCAAAATCAATTTGCCGTTGCGCAACCGATCGTAAATAACCGAGATACCTTCTCGAGCGGTCGCCCGTTAATTTCCTCGAGTTCCCCGTTTCCTGGCTCTCGGGTTCCTCGTGCCGCGAGGGCCGTCGCCGTCGTGCGACTCTCCGAGACCCGCGGACGTCGTTCCTTCCGTTCTCGCCGACACCGGGATCGATCCCTAGGGACGAACCTCGTTTTCGCGGCGGCGCGAAGGTGACAGGAAACGATCCGCGAAAGAAAACTGCGGAAAATCGGCCCGTGGGAATCGCGATATCCGGTGGGTGCGGTTAGATTCGATTTCCGGTGATTTTCAGTGATTTCCCATGTCCAATGGCGATTTCCAGCGATTTCCCACGACTTTTCCGGGATTTTCCCCGGTTAATCTACCCCTTTATCGCCGGCGGGGCGTCCCGGCCTTCCGCGGAGCGTTGGGCAAGGTCAAGGCCGGGAAATGTCAAGAGCGTCCCGCGCGCAAGAGCGACGCGCCGTTCGCGGGCAATAGCGTCCGAGCGTTCCTCTATTTTAGATAGCTTTCAATTTTATTTGGACCTCGCGCGTCCGTGCACGCCGCGTACATACGTATGCCCATCGCCCTGCCTATTTTAAACGGCCTTGGGACTCTATTTCCGTCCCTTGTACACGTATACCCACCTCTGGGTACACGCATGCACGCTCGTATCTAGGAGTCTCATTGTCCGGCGATTTTCCTCGCGGACTTTCAACCTGGCCGAATACCCGCGGAAAAGTGCCTCGCCGCAGCCCGTCGCGGAATAATCGTCATTATCGTTAGTTCGCTCGCGAGGGAATTTCCTCCTTTTTCTTTTTGCCTGTCCTTTTTTTATCTCCCTTTTTTTTTTTTATGAAATCCTGACGGCTAATTATCGGGATTACGCGACCTCCGATTAACATTACGGACCGTTTCCTGCAAATTATACGCGGCTGGCCGGTCGGTCGCCAGTTACTGACCGTTATAGCCTTGCGCAAGAATCTGCCCATAGTATGCAAAGTACTCGGCGTACTGCTTTAATGACTCTCCGCGAGGAGTGCCTCGCCGCGCATCCCGGGATGCAACGAGACCGCTTTCATGAAACGCTCGTTATGCCCCCGGGTCCCGACCGTTACCCTCGCTCGCAATTAATTGACCAACTCGCCGGCGATAGAGCGCGGTTTGTTAATTGATCAATTATCAATTATTATGCGCCACTTTGATCGGAGCCGCGAAGAGCGCTCACCTGGAAGCTCCCCGCGAGGAGGTAACGAGAACTCTCTCTCTCTCTCTCTCTCTTTCTCCATCTCGAAGACGTTTTTCGCATCCGGCCGTTGTTCTCGAAGGATTTCTTTCGCGCATCGCGGTAGCTATACCAGCCGTTAGCCTTGCTCGGTTGCTGTGCGCGCGATTGTATACAAAATAAGTGGCATACTTGGCCGATTATCGGGCTGGAATTTTCACCAAGTGTTAGTCATAACGAGCTACCGAGAAAATGACGGAAAATCATCCGAATCTTTGGTAGCGACGCCTCCTCGATTTTCCGCCCGTGATTTCGGTCCCCCCCCGGAGGTGGTAACTACCACGGTAAACAAGGAATCGCTTCGTTATCGCCGACGTAGATACCCCTAAGTGCTTTTTTTCTTCTCCCCTTTCTTTTTTTTTTTTTCTCTCGGGTAAGCCGTTTCGCTTTTGAGAGGCCTTTTCCAAATTTTCCACATTTTCCCCGCGGGGCGATTAGATACCGCGGAATTATTTTTTTTTTTTATTTTTTTCGTTTCTTCCCCCCTTTCTGCAGCCGGGTGAAAGCGTGATTCATCGGCCGCGTAATCGCCGGCCCCGATTGCCCGTTATCGCGATCGCGATTCCGTACCTTCGATCGCTCGATAATCCTTCCTGGAAGTAAGGAGATACTAGGCGTTATCAATGATGGCGGCCGTTTCTCAGGATGGCAAAATTGGATCGGCCGGGTCTCTCTCCGCGGTCTCCCTCGCGTATTTGTCGTTCATTTGCATATCCGCGCTTGTCTTTTGGCCCGTGGGGGCCCCCCTTCTTTCTCGCTGTCCCTGTCCATCTCTCTCTTTCTCTCTCTCGGCCGACACCGAATCTCCCGTGATCGATCCTCTCTCCGGTTGTATCGTAACATCAACGACCCACGCCTCTCGCGAATCACTTAAGCTAGTACGCGAAATTGCTCGCTCTCTCTCTCTCTCTCTCTCTCTCGTGCGGGCTATTTATAAGCGGTTTACATGTACATACGTACACGCGTACGGAGTGTGCCTCGAAAAAAAAAAAAAAAACTCCCGATGTCGCGGTTGGTACCTGTGACGAGATATTTGCATACGCGACGAGGGCTCCAAGACGCTCCCGCGGTGACGTTTTCCGCCGCGTTTCGGGAAACTGTCGGTCCTCGATGCAGTCGATCTGCCAGTCGATATCGCGAAAATCGATCCTCGGTCGATCCCTCGGCCTCGGGTAATCGCTCCGATTTTCTCCGAATTTTTGGAAGGCCATCCGACCGAGGATATCGCGACTGCCCCCCT